TTTTTTTTTAACGTTTATTTATTTTTTTGGGACAGAGAGAGACAGAGCATGAACGGGGGAGGGGCAGAGAGAGAGGGAGACAGAATCAGAAACAGGCTCCAGGCTCTGAGCCATCAGCCCAGAGCCCGACGCGGGGCTCGAACTCCCGGACCGCGAGATTGTGACCTGGCTGAAGTCGGACGCTTAACCGACTGCGCCACCCAGGCGCCCCTAAAGAATTCTCTACACTCAAAGTAGGGATGGAATTCATCACCCTGAGATCAAGAGTTGCACGCTCTACTGACAGCCAGCCAGGCGTCTTTGGGGCCAACTTTTAAGGGAATATCTATACTTCCCTTCCATTCTCTCCCACCACCTCTGCCACAACAAAGATAACGATGGCTCCTGTGCAGGTAGGGACCAGCCACCTTCTTCTTTAAGGGCCCAAAATGTGGGGGTGCCTGGCTGGCTCAGCCAGAAGAGCATACAACTCTTGATCTTGGGGTCACTGAGTTCAAGCCCCACGTTCGAGGTAGAGATTACCTAAATTAAAAAAAAAATTTTTTTTTAAAGGGCCCAAGAATAAATACCATAGGCTTTGCAGGCCGTACAGTTCTCTGTACCTTTATGGCAACTCTGAGGTTTAGTGCAAAAGCAGCACTGACCTTATAAGTTAATGGGCGTGGCTATGTTCCAATAAAACTTTACTTAGGGGGTAGAAAAAAAAAAAGCCAAGTGGGCAGGCTTGAATCTTGTAGAGCCACAGACTGTCCACCTGTCCTCCCAGCAGTAGCTTTTCAGCTTTGACCTTGACCCACATCTCCTTTGTATGTTTCTCTGAAGTTTTACAAAGTGGCTCTTAAACTCCACTGTACTCTGCTTTTTCTACCCTCTTTCATTCCTTTGTTTTTCAAATGCAGGAGACAAATCAATAAATGGGACTTCATATCCTGCTAATGGCTGCACACTGCAGTTTGAAAACATCGGCCCCACGACAGCATATAGGTACGGGGCCCGGGGTTCTACCTCTGCCTCCACACCTAGCTCTGTGACCTTGGACAAGTGACTTCATTTGTTTCAAATTCTCAGCGCAGGCCTGGGGCGAGCTAGCACATGGGAAGCACTCAGCAGGTCCCAGGGAGGTAATCTTTGACCTTCACACGAGGCACTGTCACACCTTTGGGGAGACTAGCAGTCAATGACTCACAGGTCACATACAGTCGGCCTGACCCCCACGTCCACGAGGTCCACCACTCCCCACCATCCCTCTACCAGAAGAGGATCAAGACAGGTTTAAAGGGAACAAACGGAATCCACGCGGTACTAAGCTTTAAACTTCTAGGAGTTTATGGTTTCTGGGGACCATCGGACAGGGACAACAGGGACAAAGGAACCAGGTGCTCAGCTGACTGACAGATCCACCTGGGCTCTAACCACTCAGCCTAACCTCGCAATTCATTTTTAAGGCACCCCCTTTGCAGTTGGGTCTCCGGGCTGCCACAGCAGCAGCAACCCCTGTGGTGGCCGGAAGCTGCAGGTGTCAGACGTGGGAAGGAAATCTGAGGCCGGGCAAAGGTAGGAACAAGCTTAGTTCAAATCTAAATAAAGTCCTCCAGAGAGAAGAGCTCCTTGCACACCCTGAAAACTTTTCTGCTCCAAGCAAAGCACGGTACGGGCCTGACTGCTGAATGAACAAAAACCTTTACTGACTCAGCCAAACTCCCAAGGGGCGAGGAGAATCTTGGGAGCTGGGATGGGCCTTGCTCGTCTGTCAGAGATTCTAGAGGGGGTAAAGGACTTGCTTGAGGTGACGAGACCAGTCAGCAGCGGGTTGGGGTGCCCGGCCCCACTTTCTCAGTTCTCGGGAGGCCCACTGAGGTGGCAGGAAGGCTCAAACCCTAATCGCCAAAGATGAACGCAGGCAGGGCATCAGCATAAGCTCAAGCCGCCGAGACTGTCCCAGCATCTATAACAAGGACCTTGAGCAAGCCAGAAAGGCCTTAAGATGGCTTCCACTTAGTTTCAACCCCAATCCGCTGCTCAAAATTAAATAAGCTGGCCAGGAACCTAAGGGGTGAAGAGAAACGGACTTGCCTCAAAAACACAGTTGCTCTGGGGCGCCTGGGTGGCTCAGTCGGTTAAGCGTCTGACTCCAGCTCGGGTCATGATCTCACAGTTTGGGAGTTCGAACCCCGCATCGGGCTCTGTGCTGACAGCTTAGAGCCTGGAGCCTGCTTCGGATTCTGTGTCTCCCCCTCTCTCTGTTCCTCCCCCGCTCATGCTCTCTCTCTCTCTCCTTCAAAAATAAAAATATTTAGGGGCGCCTGGGTGGCGCAGTCGGTTAAGCGTCCGACTTCAGCCAGGTCACGATCTCGCAGTCCGTGAGTTCGAGCCCCGCATCAGGCTCTGGGCTGATGGCTCAGGGCCTGGAGCTTGTTTCCGATTCTGTGTCTCCCTCTCTCTCTGCCCCTCCCCCGTTCATGCTCTGTCTCTCTCTGTCCCAAAAATAAATTAAAAAAAAAAAAAATTTAAAAGAAACAAAAAAAACACAGATGTTCTTTCTTCTGCTTACATACCAGGCTATACATTCGATCTAGAATTTTTCTGCAGTAGAGACAGCAAGAAGATAAAGAAACCAAGATTTGCCAAATGCTAGGCATCGTGTGGGTGTCCGGTTACATGCCCACTTGACCGCAATGACCCTGAGAAAAGAGCATTAGCCTCAGTGCCCACTGCAGGGATGGCCAGGCCTGGACACAATCTTATCTGCTTCCAGAGCCCACACTGTTCCTTCCTATCCCGTAGCCACCTCCAGCGTTCAAAAGATGTCAACACTTGCCTTACACACAGGGAGCTGAGTCACCAATTCACACAGATACAAATTCACCAAAAAAAAAAAAAAAAAAAAAAAAGAGAGAGAGATTCTCCATCCTGAGCAATTTGGCCAAGAGAAGCAAACTATGCTCCCAGTAGATATCCAGTATGGGAACAACAAAAAAAAGCATTCTATCGGAATGATGATTGTGGGATGCAACTAAGTCCACACCAACTGAGGGGGCCACGTCTTCCAACTGCCATCAACTGATCAACTCAGAAATTTCAAAACTGCCCGTGTAATCTCCTTTCGTTACAAAGCCAAAAACCCTGTGCAGCCTTTCCAGGCTGCCATCTTCATTAACTATCAAAACTAGAACGGTTCCGCGGCAAAGACGAGGCCGATAAATTTGGAGAGCCAAATCCATGAATGAAACCTGGCTCCAAACATACAGCCCCAGTTTCACCTTAACCGAAAGCACATCATAAGCCACCCGAACAAGCAGCTTGCTCCTCTCTTTCCATTAGGTGTTAATTATGAAACCGGCCTCGAATCATTTATTCTGATTCCTGCCTCCGATGAGCCGACTGCGCTTACACAGATGCCTGAATCGACCTATTAAATACCAACTACCAGGAACCTCAGAGACCGGCCTCTGTTCTCCTATTGTGTTAGGGGCTATGTTGCCAAGGTAAAGGCAAGCACCTTGCCTGCTTAGAAACTCAGCCATTTCACTTACTATTTGCTCCGAATTATTGTCACTCAACTTCCCACCCTGGGTCAGAACCAGTCACTCTGGTTCTAGCACATTCTGTCCACAGGGACCAAAACTGGGTTCTCCGGAATATGGTTTGACCTAAAGCTATCCCCGGAGGCTTGGGAATAATTAGCGACTTTTCACCATCCAGGTATTTGCTGTAACTGGATCTGGCTTCTACGAGATGGTCCTCGGGCCTCAATAGCCACGACGATGTTAACGGAAGGGAACAATGGGTAAGGCGACAGGGAGACATCCATTCCTCCCCTATCAGGGAAGGGAAAAGATTGAAAAGAGCGGAGGTGGAGAATTATTAATAGATAAATTACAGGGCACCTGGGTGGCTCAGTCCGTTGAGCATCTGACTCTGGCTCAGGTCATGATCTCACAGCTCACGGGTTGGAGCCTGTATTGGGCTCTCTGCTGTCAGCACAGAGCCTGCTTCGGAGCCTCTGTCCTCCACTCTCTCTGTACCTGCCCTGCTCGCACACTCTCTCTCTCAAAAATAAACAGAACGTTAAAATAAATAAATAAATAATAAAGGACAAATTACTAAACCGGCTTTATATGAAACTGTCTACATTCAACTGGATGGAAACAAACTCGGAGTCGACCATTCATCTCTAGCTTGCCAGGGAGTCAACAGCTGGGAAAGCCTTCAGTTCCACAGGCGCAAAGCAGTTTTCCACTTGGGATGAGCCTTCCTGGCTAAGCAAAAGCCATAGGAGTGTCTTTGCTGTACTGACAAATCCTGGCTTGTCAACAACTCAAAAACTTGAGCAAATCGAAACCCTATCTGGGAGACAGGACAGACCGTGAATGAGAAAAGCCCTTTTGGGGAATCATCTTTTTCTTCTGAAGAACACATTTAAGAATAAAAAATAAAGGGGTTTCATGAGCGGAATACCCGTATTTTCATGGCTACAATTGGTTGTACTTCTACTGGGAGATTCGTATTTGGTTTCAGATTAAACCTCTCCCCAGAGAATATAACAATTTTAAAGATTGCAAGCGTCTAAGAGTTGCTGTTAAATCAGGGATTCTGAGTGACACCCTTTTACTTTTTTTGCAACATCCATTAATTTGAATTTTAACTAGTATTGGTACATCAGTTTGGGGGGGTTAAAAAAAAGGCAGTACTGTGACATTTCAAAAACAAAGACTATGGAAATACAGTTTGACATAATTACTGGGGCTTCTTGGTTTTCATGGATGAGATTCCTTCGAGAACGGAAAAAAAAAAAAAACCAAACCAAAACCAAACCCTTGTGTTGCTACGCCTGAGTCCTTTTTAAGTGTTTGGGGAGATACTTTTGAATTCGTTGAATGATTGCTACAATGTTCACTTACAAAAGAAAGCCCATTTCCTTAACATTTCAAGTCAAGTTAAACAAGCATCCTTCTACAACTCAGTTGCCCTCGAAACTTGGAAAGTTCGTCTGTGAGCAGCCAGTTGCTGAATCTGGCTCCCGGAGAAGGAATTTCAGCAAGGATGGAAAACTTCAAATAAAGGCAGTTCATTTTCGGCTGACCCTGCGCACTGGAGAGAGTGTGTTCAGTTCGTGCTTGAGACTTTTTTTTTTTTTTTTTTTGCAGGATATTGTACAGTGTGGACACTTCTTCCTCCCACAACTGATTTTACATACCTAACAACCCCACTTCACAGCAGTTACGTTGTGAGTATTTTGAGAGGAAGACTAAGACAAATGGCCCACTGAACTGCAGTTAACATCTCCTTATCCCAACGTAAGTGAACTTTTTTTCCCCCCTAAGAATGGAAAAAAAAAAAAAAAAAAAGGTAAACAGGATCTTTCAGAGGGGAAAAGGGCCATGTGTTAAAAAGTTTTCTCGACCAAAGTACATCAGGGACCAAAACTGGGGCCAAGAGGGAAAATGGAACTTCAACGTGTTTTGTCTTTTAACGGAACTTATGCTTGTAAAACACATCGGAAGTACAAGTGTTTGGTTCTGCAAGTCATTTCTGTTGCCGTTTTTTCCTTGTATGTGTAGGAGAGGGAGGACTGGGGGCCGGAGGAAGTGTTCTCTCCACCATGACTGGGCATGTAACACGTTTGCATCAACTTTTCACGGTCAGGCATGTGCTTTCGAACAAAGGGAACAACAGTGGAGACGGGGAGAGGAGGCTGGGGGTTGACACTTTACAGATTTGGTGCTTAAACAGTACTTTACAAATGACTTGCTTAATTTAAACGTCCATCACCATAAGAGACATTGGAGTAAAATGAGAAAATTGGATCTACTTGAACCACAATCTTTTGGGGAGGGGGGAGGGAGGGAGCACATTAACTCAAATACAGGGATCATAAACCAAATTCAGTTTTAACCTCGTCTCTTAGAAATGGACCTCTGAAGTGTCCACTTTCTTCAAAGATGAAGGCTGGAGACAAAGCAATGGACTGATAGGGACAGAGGGATACCAAGGGCTTGAAAACATATGGGCCTTTTACATAAGTTTTTGTCATGTTACAGTAACGCTCTTTTTTTTTTTTTTTGACAAAACTGTGTACGACAAATTAAAAAAAAATTAAAGATCGAAAGGATGTGCAAGTCTAAAAGGGTTCAAAACTGGGTTAGAATCCTGATTCGAACATATCAATTCACTCAAGCATCACTTTGGTCTAAAGGCAGGAGGAAGGCAGGCAGGAAAGGGACAAAAAGAGGGAGATAATTGAATTACTCAATAAAAGAGGCTACTTACCATCCCAACCCATTGTAAGACATACACTTCTGACATAAGAGAACTCCTTAGAGGTCGAATAAAGCGTGTAAGCACCTTTGAGTAATGCACCTGCCCCCAAGAGGGGGCCCGGAAGCCCAACGTGGGCTTAGCGCACAGACCTTTGCTAATCTGTTTATTTCCTTGAACTGGAGTCAGGCTGCGATGGGCTGCGATTCCCAGGACGATACATTTAATTAGAACAAAACAGAAAACAAAAACAAAACAAAACAAAAAAAAAAAACCAAAAAAAATTTTTTTTGTAAAAGCTCACCAAACTGCTGCACTTGTGTCTCTGAATGTGGGTGGCATTTCTTTTAAAAGGCAAAGTATGGTCTGTGAAGGAGAAAGGGAAAAGGGGAGGTGGCAGTGGGGAGAAGGGGCCGTGGTGCCTGGCAAGGAAGCCCTCGCTAAGACCCCAATCTAGGGGAGGGTCCTCCCGCGACTCCCCAGCCCGGGCTGCTATGGGGCAGCCATCTGTCCAGCTCGATCTTTTCCCCTCCCCACCCCCACTCCTTCTCAGACTGCCTTTCCTGCCGCTTGAAAACCTCCTTCCATTTCCCAATCCACTCTCTAGACACCTCTTCCCCTGCCCCGCCAGGAAAGGGAGGGCAAACCCTGCACCCCAACCCCTCTGCTGGAGCAGGGGAAACAGGGGCCCCAACCTCGCTCTAAAACGCGCCAGGCTGGCCCCTTTATCACCCTCCAGAGAAGGGCGTGGGGCAAACCCATTTCGCACTTAATAAAAGGGGAAGGGGGGCACTCCCTTTCACCCCCTGCAAAAGCACAAAATTGAAAAAAAAAAAAAATCGTTATCTCCCCCGGAAGGGATGGCGCCCCATTTTAGCCCGAAAGAGGAGGGAACCCCATGAGAAAGAAGAGACCAACTTCCTCTCCCCTCCAAGGCAGGGAAAGCAAACCTCACCCCCCCCCACCCCCCTCGCCAAAAACGCATCACCTACCTACGAAAAACGAGAGGACCCCTGCCTTCAAGGAAAAACACGGGGAGGGGGCTTCTCCCCGCAAAAGAGAAAGGGGCTTCCATCGAAGGAACTAGAGATTTCCCCCCCCCCAACCAAGTTTGCCCTCTGGGTAAGAGCTAGGAAATCCCTCCCGCCAAAAAAAAAGTGCGAGAGCCCCCACCCAAAGGACCCCCCCCCACTAAAAGGATGGAGCTAGAACTGAACGAACCCCCACTTTCTGCCTAAACTAGGGTACCTCTCCAAGTAGGGCAGGGCACACCTCCCCCAGAAGAAAGGATACTGCCAGGGGCTGGAAACCCCCAACTCCCAAATGCCTAAGAGCGGGGTTACTACTCGAGATCCCCCCCCCAAAAAGGGTCCGGGAGCCCCTCCCCCATCCCCTTCCCCGAAGCCAGGCGACGGGCAGGCGGGCCCATGGCTGCCAGCTCCGGGCGCTGGGGCAGCCAGGACCCCCGTGGGCCTCCGCAGCCCCCCCCCCCAGCGCCCCCTCCCCAGGGCGGGCGGGCGGGCGCGGGGGTCCGGGGGGCGCCTCCTCACCTTCCCCTCAGCATGGCGCCCAAAAAAGACAGAGCGAGAGCGAGGGAGAGCGGGCGAGCGCCGCGAGGGGGGGGAAACGCATGAGGCCAGGAGAGAAAGCAAGCGAGAAAGAGCGAGCGAGCGAGAGACACCCACCGACCCCGCCCTTCCTCCTCCTCCTCCTCCTCCGCGGCCCGGCCCAACATGGCGGCCGCCCCCCTTCCTCCTCCTCCTCTTCCTCCCCCCGGGGACGCTGCCCCGGCCGGGCCGGGGGCCTGACCTGTCGTCAGGGAGCGGGAGGCGGTGGTGGAGGAGGTGCGGGGTGGCCGGGCAGGCGTCGGGGGAACACGGAGGAGGCGAAGGCGTTGATGGCGGCGGCGGCGATGGCGGCTGCGGCGACTCTGATGGTGGCGGCGGGGGGGTCCCGGGCGCGGCCTCCATAGTTCCTTTGGGGGGGGGAGGGGATGTTAATGCACGAAAAAGGACTGCTTGGGCGTGGCGGGAGGGGCACACTTCAGCTCTGAGGGCTCCTGATAGGAATGGGTATATAGTTTTTCGGTTTCGGAATCACCTCTGCGCCGACCTCCGCGTAGGCCGCGCGGCCTAGGCCTCGGCGGGCCGCTCGCCGCCTTTCTCCGCAGCCCGCCCCCGGGGTCACTCGCTCACGGGCGCGGGGCCCTCATCGGGGCGAGAGCCCCCACACACACCTCCCCCGCGGGCCCGGAGGTGGGGGACCCGGGAGACACGGACACTGGTGGGTGGTTGGGTGTAATTAGCGCGGGCCGCGCGCGATGGAGCAAGCGAGGGGGGAGGGGAGAAGAGGAGAGCGAGCGAGGGGGGTTAAAAAAAAGGATTTTAGGGAGGGAGAAAACGGGCCGCGGAGACGGGCCGACTGTCTTGTCTGTCTGCCCGCCCTAGGTGCCCCGGCTGCTCGGCCCCCGCCGCAGTCAGAAATTCACACAAAATGGCGGCCCGGCCTGGAGGAGCCGAGAGGCTGAGGCGGGAGGAAGGGCGAGGTGGGAGGGGGAACTGGGAGGCGGAGGCCGCGTCACGTGGAGGAGAGGGGCACAGGCCTTCTCCCGAAGGCCGGCGGAAAGAGCCGAAGGGAGGGAGTGAGGCCGAGGCAAGGCGGAAAAAACCGAAGGCAGAGGAGCGAGAGACGGGCAGAGACGGAAAGAGCCGAGGTTGCTGATGGGGGTGTGGCTAAAGAATGGATGGAAAGTCGCGGGAGCCGGAGATAGCCGAAGCGGACCGGGACGGGATGGGGGGGGGGGGGGCGGGGAAGGCAAGGAACTGCGACGATACGGAAGGAGCCGAAGGCGGTGTCGGAGGCGGGTGGCAGGAGGCGGAACTAGCCGAAAGAGGAATTTAGATGGGAAAGGCTGAAGGGCGGGGCTCGGGAGGCGATTAACAGAGCAAAAGGCTGGGAAATTCACCCGAGCGCAAGCGGGAAGAACCGAAAATTACCAGCTTGAGGGAAGGCGGGAAGAGACTAAAGTTTTAGGTGGAAGAATGGGAGGGAAAGAATTCGAGCTACGGAAAGAAAAAAAAAAAAATAACCGAAAGCTGGAGGCCGGGTGCCGTGAGTTGTAGGTTTCCGGAGAAGGGGAGGATGGAGCCGAACAGGTCCGGAGCTGACGTCATTAGAAACCTCGGTCAGTGACGTCTCCCTGGGGCGGTGCGAGAGGGGCGGGCCTTGGTACTGCCTCCGGGAAGTTTAAGAGCTTGTAGCGTAGGTTATCGGGAAGGCTCAAGATAAATGTTACACGTGGGAGCGACTGACCGGGTTCAAACGGTGTGCAAACGACCTACAATCTTTTGATCCCCAAAACTCCGCTGGGAGGAACTACTATTCTCATTTAATGGATGCAGACAATCCTGGCGTCTAAATAGTTTTCTCAGGAACGTAATATTAGCCGTGAAGAGCGCCTCAAGAATTTTAGTCCGTGTGGGCATTCCATTGCCTACTGCAAAAATTCGTTGAGGCCGGTTTATATCCAAGGATCTTTGTTCTGTGCTTTTATGAGCTCCTTGCACAGTGTCAAGCTCTGTGATGGTCGATGGGAACAGTTTCTAGCGTCCTGGAGCTTAAAAACCGATAATGCCCCGGGGAAAGGAACTGGAAGTTAGAAGAGAGCCTCTATTAAATGAGGTGTTAAAGGGGGCGCCCAGGACAGGGTTGTTTAAGTTGAGATGGGAAGGAGAAGAGAAAGTTCCAAACCAAGGAAAAGCTTATTTCAGAGCCTGACGAGGTATGGACCATTTAGGTTCCGGGAACAGAAAACCAGTGCAGCATGAAAGATAAATCTGGAGGTAAAGGCGCCAAATTACTTCTTGGTCTTTTTATCCTACCATGAAAGAAAGAAAAAAAAAAAAAAAAAAAAAGCCCGCAAACTAGTCTGGTACATACGCTTTTTGTGAGTAATTTATAACAATCTCCTTCAGTGAAGTAATTAGCTTTCTTGATAAAAAAGATTTAAGCCATATCGAGTGAATTTTGATGGTTATGAAATTTGTTCTGAGGAACTACTGCCTGCCAATCAAGACTCCTAATCTTCCGTCTTTCTTATGTTCTGGATCTAGTTTTATTTACTTTCTGGATCTAGCCTCTAGTTTAATGATGGTTATTTAACCATTCACTTCTCCCCTAAAATGTCCATACCAAGAATACATTTCTAATTCACCTACAAGAGACTTTTTTTTCTTTGCATGCATCATTGCAATAAAATGTTGGCACGTGCTTTTAACAAAATTGTCCGAAAGGTTTCTTTAACACAAGACTGGTAGGGTAGGATTATGCGAATGGAAAGAAAAATACTGCGAATTGTCTTTCCCCTTCTGTGCCTTGTTTTCTGAACCCCATGTATTCTAGCGATGGATGAAACCACACTGGTTAAGACTGTAGACCACACGGTGGTCTGTCCTTTCAAGCTGTGGTCTCCAGCTGGCCATCTCTGAAGCTTCAGCAGGCCATTCCAGAATTCTAGAGGGCTGTCTGCTTTTAGGTAATGAGAAAAATGAAGAGATCAGCAAGTCTCATGAGGCAGGAAGGTTTCTCCATGCCTTTTCAGAGTCTTACTAGACCACTGTCTAACACTGCCTACCAAGCCCTTCTGACATTCTTTTTTTTTTTTTTTTTTTTTTTAGTTTATTTATTTTGAGAGACAGAGTGCAAGCAGGGGAGGGGCAAAGAAAGAGGGAGAAACCCAAGCAGGCTCCACACTGTCATCACAGAGCCCATGCAGGACTCCAGCTCATGAAACCGTGAAATCATGACCAGAGCCGAAATCAAGAGTCCAATGCTTAACTGGCTGAGCCACCCAGGCGCCCCTGCCCTAACATTCTAAATGTCACTTTGACTTCCTATGTAACTGTTGATTGGGGTCTAGACTCTGAGAAGTTATGGAAGATTCTCAAGTTTCAAAGGATTTTTGGTCTGGTGGGAAAGACGACCTTGAATGGTATTAATCAATTTTGTAGCAAACTTTCCAACCTAATTCCTGCATTTGTTTTTTTACATACACATTTCTCGTCTCCAACTTGAACCAGCTTAATTTTTCTGCTGTTTCGCTCATTAATGAGTTAAATTCATTCCTGTTCTTTTTTTTTTTTTTATGTGTTAGTTTTGAGAGGGAGTGCACGCATGTGCGCTTGAATGGGGGAGGGGCAGAGAGAGGGAGAGGATAGGAAGTGGGCTCCATGCTGACAGCAGTGAGTTGATACGAGGCTTGAACTCACAAACCATGAGATCGTGACCTGAGCTGAAGTCGAATGCTCAATGGACAGAGCAACCCAGGCGCCCCTTGTTCATTCATATTCTTTAATAGCCTTTGTAACAAACGAGTAGTCTAGTAGGTAGACTATTTTCCTGACTTCTGTGAGCCACTGTAGCAAATTAATGGAAACAGAGAAAGGGGTTGTGGCAACATCTGATTTATACCCAATCAGAAGTGCTTCCAATTTGAGGCTGAAGCTGGGGGTGGGCAATCTTGTGGGAATGAGCTCTTAACCAATGGGGTCTCATGCTAACTCCGGGTAGATAGTATCAGAACGGAATTGAACTTCAGCTGGTATCCCCCAGTTGCAGAACTGCTTGGTGTGGGAAAGCCTCCAAGCATTTGGTGACCAGAGTAGAGAAGTATAGAATGTTAGAGTAGAGGAGAAACACGGGATCTCCCTTAGAACCCCTTTGGAAAATGGCTTGACGATATCAACTCCAGCTGAAAGGAAGCTTACTCTATGATTCAACAATTCCACCCGAATGTGTATATCCAACAAATGTGTACCAAAAGGCATGAAAAGAATGTTCACAGCAGCACTGGTCAAAATAGTCCCTAACTGGGAACAACTTAAATACCCATCGATTGGAGAACAGACAAGTAAATTGTAGTATATTTGCAACTTTTGAGGACCCCCTGGATGGCTGGGTTGGAAGACCTAGATGGCAGTCTTTTGCAATACATCTTGGGCGATATATCTAAAGAACCTTCTTTTGTATACCTTAGAGCTTTCTTTGCTGATCAGTGAGAGCAAGTCTCCCAGTCATGATACAAATTGCCACTAAGATTCCCACAGAGCTACCAAACGTGACTTTGTGTGTGTGCACGTGTGTGTATCTGTGTGTGTGCCCACGCACGTGTCCATGTGTGCCAGGTGTGTGGGGGGTGTGGTGTGGGGAGGTTGTGGAGGAAGGTTGCATGTTTTACCAACTTGCCCATCGTTTCCAAAATTCTTCATCTGGACCTCCAAAATGTCTCCAAGCTTGGCAGATCCTTGTGTTTTTCTGAGATGGAAACTTCTGTGATGCCCATACGTGACCAATGCTTCCCTGGTACCTATTTCTTTCTACTCTGGGAACATCATTATTCTGGCAAAAGATTTTGTTTTTCTAGTCACGGGGATGGCTCTACAGGGAAGTCACTACACGGTGTGGAAGAAATGCCAGGAGCGGGCTCCAGCCTGTGGAAATAACTAGGGAAGAAAGAAGGAGACCATTGGCCAAAGGGAGGCATTATGGTATCTTGCTGACTGCCAACCAATAGCTATTTTCTCTACCTTCCTTGCTAATCCAACCCTGTTTCTATTGGGAAGTGGAGGGTAATGAACTCCAGGCTAGACCATGGTTCCACCTAGTTCTCAAGGAGATGATGTTGCCCCCTAGAGGACATTTTGGGACTTATTGTGGGAAATTCCTGTTGGGTTGGTTTTTTTTTGTTTGTTTGTTTGTTTTTTATTCTCAAGGGGAGAGAATTGCACCCTTGAGGACATTTTGGAAGTTTGCAGGGACCTTTTGGGACACTACAATAATAAAGGAGTTGTTATTGACACTAGAGGACAGGGACCAGGGATGATAGGATGACAGCACAGGGACCAACCTGACTATGGGTAATAAATGCTCACCTAATGAACAAAATTATAGCCAGTTGTGCTCAGTCAGTTGTGTCTGGCTCTTGATTTTGGCTCAGGTCTGATTGAAAGGTTCATGAGTTCGAACCTCACATCAGGCTCTGAGCTGTCAGTGCAGAGCCTGCTTGGGATTCTCTCTCTCTCTCTCTCTCTCTCTCTCTCTCTGTCTTCTCTCTCTCTCTCGCTCACTCTCTACCTCTTCCCCGCTCTCTGTCTCAAAATAAAAAATAAGCTAAAAAAAATAAGCTAAAATGGCTAATTTTAAGTTATGTAAATTTCTTTTTTTAATGTGAATTTCACCTTAAAAAAAAAAGTTTAAGAACATATATACCCCCAAATTTGAGAACCTACCATTACATTAAATGTTCTTTGTAAGCTTTATAAAATTATAAGGGGGAGTGGGAAAAGGAACCCTTTTAGATGTTTAATGAGTCTAGAGGTCCAGGAGAAGATAATTTATAGACCAGGTTGGTTTATTTTCAGTCCTTTTCCACAAAGTTACTGTTCACAAGAGTTACTGCATACTCACAGGAAATAGCTCAGGTCATTCGCTAACCAGTTATAAATGACCACATGCCATGGATCTTCAGGGTCATTTCAAGGTCAATATAATAACTAATAAATCATTTAATGCTAAGAATCAGTTTTAGTTCTTCAAAATAGTTTGACTCCCTTTATTTTTTTTTCTATGACCCATGCACATTTCACTTTAACAATACAAGACAACTCAGCAAAAGTGTTTCTCTCCAAAGTCTTATCCAACAGAGGTTTGATATAG